CCCCGCGATCTGCCGTACTTCCCTCATTGGTGTCAGTCACGCCTCGTCGGGGATCTCTGCACCAGCGTAGCGTGAGGATCTGTCTTTCCTGTCGTCATCTTTCGCCTGGGATTGGTATACGCTCATCCCTCCACCTCTCCGTCTCTCTCTCTCTCCCTCCCTCTCCCTCCCTCTCTCTCTCTCTCCCCCCCCCACGGGCGTAAGTTCGACTCATATATGACCCTCCCTTCCCGCCCTCCCCTGCCAAAACCGATCTCGCGTTCTCTGGCTCCATATCTCACTCTTGCTCGCCTTGCGTCTTTCCCCATTCTCTCTTTCCCGCTCTTTTCTCCCCTTCTCCCCTCCCTCACCCCGCAGCCTCCCCCCATTCCCCTCCATTTCTTCTCGATCTGCACTTTCTTGGCGCTGTCTCCTTTATCGTGCGCGCGCGGTGGCAGAACATCTATCAAGTAGTACCGAGACACTCTCACTATCATCAATGGTGACGGTCTGCGAGGCCCCTAGATCGTCCCTTCCTCTTCCTTCTGCCCTTTCCTTGTGCACCTCCCTGCCTCTCTCTCTCTCTCTTTTTGCGGTGCATTCCTTGAACATGAGCAAGTTTCGTCAGAGAAAAAGAAACAAAATGACTGGCACTTGTAAGGGAAGAAAACTGTCATTGGAAAGAAATCATGGCTTACGCCTGTGCCTTCCCTCTTTTCTCCCGTTCAATTACAGCAGACTCACACCTCCTTTCTGTATTTAACTCTCTCTGCCCGGTCTCTTCCTTTCCGTTTGTTCCCTTTCTTCCCCCCCCCACCCACCCACAAGAAAAGACCCCGTATCGCCATGTCGGCCTTGGTCCCCCTCCCCCTTGGCAGATTGTTCCTTTCCCATCGCCGAATTTTTCAGTCTGCCTGCCTCCATTGCCATCACCTCACTGCGCTGCTGGGGATGTGTGTGGATTAGTCAGAAAGAAGCTTCTTTTCCGTTGAATGAGGGGCCTGATGATGGCTTCCCCGATCCCGATCCTCTCGTCCCTCTTCCAAATAGAGGCCCGAGTTCCAAGAACACTGGAACCCCTTTTTTTTTTTTTTTTTTTTTTTTGTGAACATCATTCATAGCCAACTGTAGTCTCGGCCTCATGGGTGGTAAGAGGCTCTAGCGTTAGAGAGACTGGCAATATACTTAGTCGCGGCTAAAATAAACTTAGTCGTGGCTGAAAAGCCGATGGCAATATACTTAGGGCCTCGTCGCACTACTCGCCATCCGCAAACATTTTGATTGCATGTGGGCATCATTCTGTCCAGATGCATTCGAATTCTTGGCGGATGGCGAGTAGTGTAACCAGGGCCTTAGTCGCGGCTAAATAAACGACGGAAAAATATACGATGGCTCCGTAGTATTCGTGCACAGGAAGCCTTTTGGTCAAATTGGGTAAATAAAAACTTAGTCGCGGCTAAAAAAAAACTCGCCGTTATTATTATTATTGAATAGCAACAACAATACGCTCCAAAAAAACAGTTTATTTCAGTCATTTTTATCAGGCTTGTTGTCATCATCCCCGTTAAATTTTCGTTCTCATTCCCGTTAAATTTTCGTTCTCATTCCCGTTCTCTTCACTCACTTTCCCTCCCAGTTTCACACGCCTCTCATCAGGCAGATTAGTAGATTAGCATAAAATATGAACTTTTTAAATCGCTTGAAATTTTTGTGAAATTCTCCGGCCTTT